CGCTTGAAACTGGGAGGTGGAAGTTTCAGTGAGCCGAGATCGTGCCACTGCACTCCAGCCTGGATGACAGAGCAAGACTCGGTCTCAAGAAGGAAAAAAAAAAAAAAAAAAAAAAACAATGCTGGGTGATTACCCTTATATGCGTTTCCTGGATGAGCCATTTTTTAAATTATTTTTTGTTGGAAATTTCCTTGCAGAGCTGTTGCACATTGTGGGAGGTTAACCCCCAGACACTCCCACGAGGCCCCAGTCACTCAGGGGTGCCTTTGGCTGGGAGGAGCTGAAAAATTCAGTCTCTTATTTATCTATGAAAACAACAGTTCAGTTCCTCACACAAATGCACACAGATAAACCAAATTTAGACAGATTTTAGGAGAAAAAGCAATCGAGAATTCCTTTTAGAATGCATCTCCCAACTAGAATTAGGATCCTTAAACAACAACTTCTTAGGAGAAAACCAGCTCAGAATAAATCAAGGACCGTGAACCAAAGGGAGGTCTGGGGCTCAGGAGGACTTACCAGTTAGTTCCACCAGAGGAGAAGCTCGAAGCTGCAATGCGCCCCCTGCTGGTGGTACCTTAGCTCTGGTTTTGGGCAACTCCTTTAGGGTCCTGAGTCTTCTCTGAGGCCTCACGTGTTTGGGCACCAAATTATTGTTGACGGAAAGAGCCAAACTCTGTAAAATATTTTAAGAGATTTATTCTGAGCCAAAGATGAGTAACCATGGCCCGTGACACAGCACTCAGGAGGTCCTGAGAACATGTGCCCAAGGTGATCAGGGTACAGCTTGGTTTTGTATATTTTAGGAAGGCATGACACATCAATCAAATACATTTAAGAAATACTTTGGTTATTTGGAAGTCCCCACGGGGCGGGGGACGGGGACTTAAAAGCTACAGGTAAATTTAAATATTTTCTGGTTGACAATTAGTTGAGTTTATCTGAAGACCTGGGATCAATGGAAAGGAATGTTCAGGTTAACATAAAGGATTGTGGAGTCCAAGTTTTACTGTGCAGAGAAATCTCTCAGAGAGCAGACTTCAGAGAGAGAGCAGATTGTAAAATGTTTCTTATCAGACCTAAAAGGGTGCCTGGCTCTTAGTTGATTATCTCCTGGATCTGGAAAGGAAGGGGGAAAAAAGGGCGGGGGAGGGGCGAGGGATTCTCTACAGAATGTGGATTTTTTCCACAAAAGATTTTGTAGGGCAATTTCAAAGTGTGGCAAGGCAATATATTTTGTGGTAAAACATTGTAATTGTCTTTTTTTTTTTTTTTTTTTTTTTTTTTTTTTTTTTTTTTTTTTTTTTGAGACGGGGTCTCGATCTGTCGCCCAGGCTGGAGTGCAGTGGTGCGATCTCTGCTCACTGCGAGCTCCGCCTCCTGGGTTCACGCCATTCTCCTGTCTCAGCCTCCCGAGTAGCTGGGACTACAGGTGCGTGCCACCATGCCCGGCTAATTTTTTTGTATTTTTGCTAGAGACGGGGTTTTACCGTATTAGCCAGGATGGTCTCGGTCGCCTGACCTCGTGATCCGCCCACCTCGGCCTCCCAAAGTGCTGGGATTACAAGTGTGAGCCACCGCACCCGGCCAAGACATTGTGATTTTCTTCCTTGTTATGCCATAGTCAGATTGAAAACTAAGTCACAATATACAGGGTCATATAAAACCCATCTGATAAGAATTTATGGTTTGTAGGGCATAACTCCCTAGATCCCTTAGGTAGGAATTTGGGCAAGATAAAAAATCAGAGTTTAGTCCTCAATTCCTTAAGATAAATCTCTTTCTATCTCCCTCTCTATCTCATATCTCCATCCTATTTTCTGGAAAACTCTGACTAATGCAAGAAATTAAAGAGACAAAACACAGGATACAATATCTTAAACAACAAAATACTATTCAGCCATAAAAAAGAATGAAATCCTGTCATTCATGGAACATGGATGAGCTAAAGCAGTGGTCCCCAGCCTTTTAGGCACCAGGCACCGGTACAGTGGAAGACAATTTGTCCTTGGTTGGAAGGGGGCGGGAGGATGGTTTTGGGATGAAACTGTCCCATCTCAGACCATCAGGCAGTAGTTAGATTTTTATAAGGAGTGTGCAACCTAAATCCCTCGCATGTGCAGTTCACAATAGGGTTTGTGCTCCTGTGAGAATCTAATGCTTCTGCACATCTGACAGGAGACAGAGCTCCAGGGTAATGCTCACCTGCCACTCACCTCCTGCTGTGCTCCCAGTTCCTAGCAGGCCACGGCCCCCTACCAATCCACGGCCCAGGAATGGGGACCCCTGGCCTAGAAGACATTATGTTAAGTGAGATAAGTCAGGCACAGTAATATAAATGCTGCACATTCTCACTTATCTGTGGTAACTAAAAAAGTTGAGCTTACAGGCCGGGTGTTATGGCTCACACCTGTAATTCCAGCACTTTGGGAGGCCAGGTGGGCAGATCACCTGAGGCCAGGAGTTTGAGACAAGTGCCCTTTCTCCTAGGAGCTGAAAAAAGACCTATCTCTACTAAAAATATAAAAATTAGCTGGGTATGGTGGCAGGTGCCTGTAATCCTAGCTGCTCAGGAGGCTGAGGCACGAGAATCGCTTGAACCTGGGAGACAGAGATTGCAGTGAACCAAGATTGCACCACTGCACTCCAGCCTGGGAGACAGGGCGAGACTCCATCTCAAAAAAAAAAAAAAAAAGTGTCAAGCTTACAGTAGAGAGTAAAATAATGTAGCAGGTAGAAGGGGATACAGAGAGGTTGGTTAACAAACACAAAATCACAGCTAGATAGGAGGAATAAGTTCTAGGGTTCCGTAGCTCTGTAGGGTGACTGTAGCCAACAATCGTTTATTGCATATTTTCAAACAGCTAGAAGAGAGGATTTTGAATGTTCTCACACAAAGAAATGAGAAATGTTTGAGGTACCCTTATTTGATCATTACACATTGTGTACATGTATTGAAATATCACTCTGTATCCCATAAATATGCATAATTATTATGTCAATCAAAAATAAAATTTTTAATTAAAAAATACATTTTAAAAATCAATACAATATCTGACCTGACACTGCAATCTCAACTGAAGGAGGAAACCAATGCTATAAAAGGCATTATTAGGTCAACTGGCAAATTGGAATACAGATAGATAGATAGATAGATAGATAGATAGATAGATAGATGATAGACTAGATAAAAGTGGTGTCCATTTAAATTTATGGAGCTAATAACTGTACTGTCATATAGAAGAATATCCCTATTCTTAGGAAATACACACTGAACTATTTGGGAGTAAAAGGCCATGATAATATAAGGCAATGAACATATAAACTTATGCTTAATAGATTCAAAAAAGAAAATATACAAAGATATATAGAGAAACTAATATAGATATGTATATATCTATAGATACAGAGAGGTGGGGCAAATGCTAAAGCAAGAAAGACAAAATGTCAACAATAGGCAAATCTCAGGGGAGCTGGGGAAAGGGTATTGTACAGTTTGTATTTTGCAGCTGGTATGTTTTAAATTATTTTTTGTTGTTGTTGTTGTTGTTGAGACAGAGTCTCGCTTTGTCACCCAGACTGGAGTGCAGTGGCCGGATCTCAGCTCACTGCAAGCTCCGCCTCCCGGGTTCACGCCATTCCCCTGCCTCAGCCTCCCGAGTAGCTGGGACTACAGGCACCCGCCACCTCGCCCGGCTAGGTTTTTGTATTTTTTGGTAGAGACGGGGTTTCACCGTGTTAGCCAGGATGGTCTCGATCTCCTGGCCTTGTGATCCGCCCGTCTCGGCCTCCCAAAGTGCTGGGATTACAGGCTTGAGCCACCGCGCCCAGCCTAAATTATTTTTAAATGAAAAGATTTTTTAATAGGTTGAGGAAATTGGAGTGACTTATATTTATGACATCCAATGGACTATGCATGCTGTATGGAAACAAGGAGAAAATAAATGTCATCATTGCTTAACACGTGAAGGGTAAAAAGACAATTAATTCATTGAAGACTATGCGCAGAAACACAAAAGCCTTTGCTTCTGTGGTAATAGGTTTACCAAAGGCACAAAGGGGGTTGTATATATTTTAGGATTATAATTTACATAACTTAATTGGAAAAATTACAGATTTTAAGATATTTTTACAAATCTGAGCGACTGTAAAGACTGCTAAAGTCTTGGGACTTATTCTTACCAAGTCCCAGATCTTTTGTTTTGTTTTGTTTTGTTTTGTTTTGTTTTGTTTTGTGCCTGCAATCAAACCAGGTTTTTTAGACCACGAAAACGTGAGAAGCTAGAGTTGCTCTACTCAGTTGACCCAAACCAGGACTCCTGAGATTATTCCCTTATACGACAGGCACCACATCCGAGAAAGGATTCTGGAAACGTGAGCTGGAACACAAAAGAACTGTCTTGATGGGAAACACACTCCAAAGGACGCCATTGTGGGGAGGAAAACACAAAATATTTCTTGAGAAGAATATGGAGATGGCAAAGTCTCTAACCTCCAGAAACCTTAAACTCTAGGGGAAGAAAGCAAAAATTTAGGGGCAAGAGTATTCATATTAAAACTCAAACAATAAGTAGTTTTTCTATAAACTATCTTTTTTTTCTAATGGTGAAAGTACACACAATCATTCTCTCCAAACTCAGACGTTTTAGACAAATAGATAATAGAGAGAGAGAGAGAGAGATGATAGATAGATAGATAGATAGATAGATAGATAGATAGATAGATATACATACATACATACTATATACATATATACTTACATATGTTGGTACATAGATGTTTCTTTATCAAAGATTAAGTTATTCTAGATGCATATCTTGTAGCCTACATTTTTACACTTTTCATCATTTTTAATAACTGCGTACTGCTCTATTATATGCTATATTTTCTGTATTAGATTAGATCCATGTTTTATCACCATTTAGGTGGCTTTTGGTTTTCTGTTACTGTAATGTTGAGATAAACCTCTTTATGTACTTGTTCAATTATTCTCATTAAACAAAAGCCCAAGGTGCAAAGTTTCTGAGTAAAAAAATAGGCACATTTTAAGGCTTCTGATGTATATTGCCAAATTGTGCTAAAAAGAAAAGCTCTACCAATTAACACTCCCAGCAACAATGCCAAGAGAATGCTAGTTTCCCTACATCTCACCAACACTGGCTGGAATGCATCGTTTTAGAGATGAATGCTGGGAACCGATGCACTCTTTGCTCTACCTCTCCCCCTCCTAACAGTCTAGAACACAGGCGCTCAATAAATCAATCCAGGCTCCAGTCCAGCAGACATTCTGATCTAATCTGACTGCTCTGGGTAACAGAAAAGTCTCCCTTGGTTCACTGCCCAGTATCCTGGCGTCATGAGAATCCTATAAAGGCAGTAGCTCCAGGCACATTACAGAGGGACCCAACTCCACTAAACCACCACCAGCTCCCCAAGTCACCCCTTCAGCCATGAAGTTCCTGCTCCTGGTCTTGGCAGCCCTTGGATTCCTGACCCAAGTGATCCCACGTAAACTGGATAAACAGGAGGAAGGGAGAACTGGGAACAAGGAACACTAGCAGATCTGGTTGCTCTGGTGCTAGATGAGCCAGGTTGGGTGGAGGCAGGGCTCACCCCACTAGTTCCAGTCTAAGATAGAGATCTCCTAACGACCACCACTAGCCTTGATATCCCACACCCAAACACCACCCTATATAACCTTTATAAAAATTTGTTTTCTATTCTAAAATGATAGTCACCCTCAACCTGAACCAAAATATCTTCTTTCAATTTATGTGAGCTCCTTTTATCTAACCTCCCAAGACACACTGAAGGCTTCTGTCATCACCATGTGCATCCACTGAAATCAGCCCTGGGTTGGAGCTCAAAGGAGGTATTGAGCCTAGAAGGAAAAGATTGAGGTTCCCAGCCCTATGCTCAACAGAAAGCTGGCAGGTGGGGAATGGAAGTAGACCTCTTAGAGGGCTAGTTCCCACAGGATGGTAAGCAATGGGTTCAGCTCAAACCCTGGGGCTAGGAGGTAATGCAGGGTCAGAAAGAGACAGACAGACACACAGAGAGCAGGAAGAGAGAGAGATCAGAGGAGGGCCAGGCAATGGATGTGAAGAAAGCCAGAGAGGCCTGAGGGTGCTCGAAGAGGCCCCTGCTGTGAGCCAATGGCAGACACAGAGCACTGAGGTAAACAGATTTTACCAGAGGGTGAAATGGTGCCCAGCACTGTGTGAATGCAAAAATGCCCTGTCACTAGCAACCATTATTTTCTTTTTAAATGGTTTTGGAGAATGATTTGACTCCTCCCACTTTGCCCCAGGTTGACTGATATTGACAGTTTTAGAGTCTATGAAAACAAGTATGGCAGAAACACCTTAAAAGGGAGCCTGTGGGGTGAGTGAGAATAGCCCCATTTCTCCCTTTTGAGTATCCAAGCTCCTCCCTGACCATGAAGACCTGGCTCCCCACCCCTGTTTTCACCCATACATCCTATTCTGCAGTATCAAATTTAGCAAAAAGCTTCAAAGATGCAGATACTGGTAAAGAAGAAGAGCTCCTCAGACAGAGTTCCCCAAGGCCATCAATCCAGGAAAGTTCTGTCTCCTCCTCACTGGGTTTCCCGAGTCTCATTTGCACAACATCCTAAGGATATATCTCAGAACAGAAAGCCAAACACTCCATCTGGCGCTGGCAGGTGAGCAGTCCTGTGCTGCTTCTAACCACGACCTCTCTGTCTTGTCCTCTCCCATACAGCCAGTGGGGGTGGGTCAAAATGTGTGAGTGACACCCCGGGATACTGCAGGACACATTGCCACCAGGGGGAGACAGCATTGTTCATGTGCAGCCCTTTCAGAAAATGCTGCATCAGCTACTCCTTCCTGCCTCAGCCTGACCTACCGCATCTCGTCGGGAACCACTGGCCATCAAGGAGCGGAAACACACAAAGGAAAAACAAGAAGCAACAAACGACCGTAACGCCATAATAACCCCTCCTATCACCCCCACCAACTCAAAGAAATATCATTTCCACAGTTCCAGTTCCTCCTACGTTGTTGAGAACTAGCCAAGTCTCCTCCTTGTGGGGCAGATATCTATAGCCAACCCCAAAACTTCCGTCTTCTATCATTCTGTCATTCATCTAATAACTAATTTGGAGTTTGTATCTATCTTATGAGAGCAATCATCATGCAGACTCGTCCACAGGGGATCTGTCAGTTTGGGTCCTCCAAATGAAAAATGCCAAGACAGAATTGGACATGCAAAAGATTGACTGGGAGAACACACCTCTGATGGACAAAGTTGAGAGAGAGCAACCACAGGCAAGGAGAACCTTCAGACTGCAGTGCTGACCTAATACGTATCAAAGGAGAGAGGGATAGAGAAGGACTGAATAGAAGGAGACTGAGACTGTAGCTCTAAGAAAGTCTTAGCCAAACAGATGGGGAGGCCCAAAGCAAGGCTTGCTCCTCAGAGGAGCTCCCACAGGGCAGGAATAGCCAGGTTCTCATATCCCAGGGGTTCAGTCTTTGGCTGAGAACAGTCCTTGGAGAACATGGGGTGACTGCTACCATTGGTCTGGAAGTATGACAGCTTGAGGCTGTCCACCAACTATCCCCCTGAAGCAAGTTCTCTTGAAAGGAAATCTGAACAGTGCTGCCATGGAGTATAAGGAGGAAGAGAAAGGAGCTAAAAGTCTAGGTTCGCCCAGCTAGGTAGACTGACTTGTGAAGTATTTATTTATTCATTTGAGTAACAAAGCAGACAGAATACATAGCCGCCATTGGTAGTACACCCCGAAAGCAAGGAAGGCATGATGCTGGTGACTCAAACGTACCTACCCATGGTGTAAAATTGGCATAATCCTCCTGGGAAGCTGTGCAGAAATAAGCACAGAGAAGCAGAACTCTACTTGTTTAATCCACTAAACGTTACTTCTGGAAATTGGTTCATCATAAATTATCCAAGAGAAGTAAAAAGTTATGGGCACAAAGATTTTTCCATATAATATTATTTAAAATGCTGAGAAAATGAAAAAATCTAAATGGTGAAATATATACTAATGCCATCTATAAATACAAACAAATAGAATGCTTATAAAATAATGGAACATAATAACATTATTCAAAATTGCATTTATGCTGTAGTTGTCAAAATTGTCTCCTTATATGATACAAAAATCATTAAAATTATGACTTTTTTGTTTGGTTGGAAAGCAGAATTATGCATAAATTTCCTCTTACAGTTTGATGCCCATTAGTTTTATGTAATATTTATTTGACAGGTACTAACTTCTATTTGAGAAGAACAAACCAAAACACTCAGGCCTAAATAATTAAAAGCAGTCCTAAAAACTAGCAAACCAGATAAGAAAAGATGTTAATGCCTATTCCCTAACTTATATCTTAGACCAAAATTAATTCTAGATGGTTTTAAAATGACAGTGTAAAAGCAAAGTATTAAAAGATTGTGTGGTCAAATATTCAATTTAAGAGCAAGGAAATTCTTATAAATATAACAATAGAGGCAGAACTCATGTAAGATTAAATTGATTAGGTGGCATTAAATATTAAGTTCCTGTGTATGTCAAAAGGTATCATTTTGAAATTCATCCATCTTACTGGGTATTGCAGGAGTTCGTTCCTTTTTGTTTATAAATACTCTTCTGTCATATGAAGAGTATTTATTTATACACTGATTTGTTGATGGACATTTGGGTTGTTCCCAGTTTATGGCTATTGCAAATAAAGCTTCTATGCACATTTATGTACAAATCTTTGTATGGATGTATGCTTTCATTTCCCTAAGGTACATACCTAGGATTGGAATGTCTGAATCATATGGTAGGAGAATGTTTAGCTTTTTTTTTTTTTTTTTTTTTTTTTTTTTTGAGACGGAGTTTCACTCTTGTTGCCCGGGCTGGAGTGCAATGGCACAATCTCAGCTCACTGCAACCCTCGCCTCCCGGGTTCAAGTGATTCTCCTGCCTCAGCCTCCGGAGTAGCTGGGATTACAGGCATATACCACCACGCCCGGCTAATTTTTGTATTTTTGGTAGAGACGGAGTTTCTCCATGTTGGTCAGGCTGGTCTGGAACTCCCGACCTCAGATGATCCACCCACCTTGGCCTCCCAAAGTGCTGAGATTACAGGCTTGAGAATGTTTAGCTTTTTAAGGAAATACAAAATTGTTTTCCAAAATGGTTGTGCCAGTGGATGTGCCCATCAGCAGTATGTGAAAGTTCCCGCTGTTCCTCATCCTCACCAGCATGTGATAGAGTCAGTCTTTTGCATTTTCATCATCCTAATAGATGTGTAGTGGTATTTTATTATGCTTTCAATTTGCATTTTTAATAACTAGTTACCAAAAAAGTATATTCTGTATGATTCTATTTACATAGTTTTTAAAATTCTTTTAAAATTACATAAAATGATTTAAAATAGAAAGTAAGAATCTAATGACAGAAAGCAAATCACTGATTGTCCGGGGATGTGAAAGGTGCATGGAGAGGGCTGAAAGAATGTAAAGGGACCTGAGGACACTTTGAGGGGTGATCAGTCAGGATACATTCATAATCTTGATTGTGGTAATGGCTTAACGGGGATGTACGGAAGTCAAAAAATTACCAAATGGTAAACTTTAAATGTGTTCAGTTTGTTGTATATCAATTTAAACTTTAAAAAAGCTATTATTTTAATAAAATAAATAAATCTCACAGTGAAACAGAAAAATTAAAGTATCATAAATAGTTTAAAGACATATGACAGGCCGGGCGCGGTGGCTCAAGCCTGTAATCCCAGCACTTTGGGAGGCCGAGACGGGCGGATCACGAGGTCAGGAGATCGAGACCATCCTGGCTAACACAGTGAAACCCCGTCTCTACTAAAAACACAAAAAAAAACTAGCCGGGCGAGGTGGCGGGCGCCTGTAGTCCCCGCTACTCGGGAGGCTGAGGCAGGAGAATGGCGTAAACCCGGGAGGCGGAGCTTGCAGTGAGCTGAGATCCGGCCACTGCACTCCAGCCCGGGCGACAGAGCAAGACTCCGTCTCAAAAAAAAAAAAAAAAAAAAAAGACATATGACAAACTGAGATGTGTGTTGAAGTATTGATACCGATAAAATATAACAAGTTAGTATGAAGCAACAGGGAAAACATGAAACCCCTACTCAAAAATGAAAGTGACATGAACTAGCTTATTACCTCCAAAAACGGCCCGAAAAATGGGAAAAAATCTGTCTGACTTGTGATCAAATAAATGCAGACTGAAACTACAATGAGATCTTGTTTTTTACCTATGAGATTGTCAGAGAATTAACAAACCCAAGTTTGACAAGGCATAAATAGAAATAAGTCTTATCATCAGATGCTCCTGTTTGTAACAAAATATGTCAATTCTGGAAGACATTGATCTATACACCTTTCAAAACCCTTAAAAATGTTCATGTTCTCTGGCTCAGAGACTCTACTTTTACGGATATATTCTGGGGAAATAATTAGAGTTCATATCAGAAAGACTAATGTATACACAGCACACTCATAGCAGCATAGTTTAAAGTAGTGAAGAGGCGGTAGTGTAAGATGACTGAATAGAAGCCTCCACTGGTCATGCTCCCCATTAGAACACCAAGTCTGACAACTATCTACACAAAAAAAGCGCCTTCATAAGAATAAAAAAATGAAGTGAATGATCATAGTACCCAGTTTTAACTTCATATCACTAAAAGAGGCACTGAGAAGGTAGGAAAGATAGCCCTGAATTGCTGACACCACCCCTCCCCAATCCTCAGGCAACGGCTGTGTGATGTGGAGGGAGAATATGTGTACTTGCAGGAGGGAGAGCACAGTGATTGTGGGATTTGACATTGGAACTCGGTGCTACTAACACCAGGCAGAACTCAGCAGGTGCCTAGAAAGGGATCATTTAGACCATCCCTAGCCAGAGGGAAATCACCCATCCCAGAGGTTGGAACTTCAGTTTCAGCAAGCCTCACCACCATGAGCTAAAGAGTTCTGGGGTCCTAAATAAACTTGAAAGGCTGTATGGGCCACAAGAACCGCAATTCCTAGGCAACTCCTAGTGCTGTGCTGGGCTCAGAGGCAGTAGACTTAGGGAGCACTCAAACTAGTGAGACACCAGTTGGGGAGCTGGGGTGTGTGTGTGTGTGCGTGTGTGTGTGTGTGTGTGAGAGAGAGATTCTCATGCCTCAGCCTCCCAAGTAGCCAGGGATGGCAGTGGCGGCCCATCTGGAGTGGACACTGCCATCACGCCAGCTGTAGCAGGGAGGTGCAGCTGGGTCTGTACATTTCACAGAGCTACGGAGCTGGGGACAATGACAGCCCCACACCTTCCAAGTTGGTGGGGCAGGAGCTCGCCAGGTTCCAATGCAGACACCCAGGTGGCAGTTGTGAAGCCGGGCCTCCCTGTGTTCTTGCGGGTGCTGGGAGCAGGCGGCAACCCCGCCCTTTTTGATGTAGCTGCAGGTGCCCAAACCACGGCTGCAGAACCAGGCATCTCTACACTCTTGAGGGTCAGGGAAGTCCCCATTGCCCTCACAGGTTTAGAAGTGCCTGCTCCCATAGCCTGGCATCTCCTTGCTGTCGGTGCCGGCTCTAATCTTGGAGCAAAGTCGAGGCCAAGCCCAGGTGCTGTCATAGCCTGCTGGGTGTGCACACACTTGGGGCAGTGCTGACATACCAGCCCCCTGCCACCTCGGACCCCTACAGACTTTGGGTGCTGATGAGCATAGAAAGGAAGCCCCACTTCCTTTCTATGGGCTGAGGGCAACTTGGCATTGGCTTATGGGTGCCCCTTGGCACCTACAGCCTGGGTGCCATGAATGGCAGTAAGAGTCTTCTCAGTTCTGTCTCCTTCCCTTCAGTGTGGATGAAGGGGTAGAAACGAGGTATAGCATCTCTCTTTCCCAGGGGTCGAGTTGCATCTTTTAATGGTTTACCACTGACAGTGCCACCAACGATTTGGGGATTGTGTCTCTAGGAAGCAATTTACCTAAATTTCATGTATCAATGAAACTGTTTCTCCTTATCGTTTTATTTATTTATTTATTGTGTAAAATAAATATGCTTTTAATGTATACTGAAAGCCTGTTGATGTTAACATGCAAGGATTGAAAGAACACCTTGTTGGACTGCAAGATGGCTGCTCCCTCTGCCCTCAGCTGCAGCTGGCCTGTCAGCTAAGCTTTGATTTCCTTGGCAGAATATAAAAGAATTCCTCTCTGTGGTGGTCCAGGAGACCAAGCGAATTTGGGGAGGTGATAGAATTGCACCCTGATCATGCTGGTGGTGAAAACTCGTGCAACCGTACACCCAAATGTTGTCGTTTTTACTGTATGTTAATTTTAGAAATCAAAAAGTAAAAGATACAATCACAAAAATATCATTTGATGGGGCAAACTTATTCAGTATATGAAGATAATAGAGAACTTTTAATTTATACAAACATGGCTCTTATAAAATAAAATATTAATATAAAATATTAAAATATAAATTCTCAAGAGCTATAACTTAAACTTCTATGTTAATTTAGGTAAGCAATTCTCCTATGAAAAGACTTAAGGATTCTTTCCTTCTCTTTTCCTGTCTTTTCATTTTTCTAAAGGAACAGCATTAAAGCCGACTGAAACAGTTACTGTGACCAGCATGTAATGCTTGAAAAGATGAAAATCGAGCTTTAAATATGCTCAATCTCAATAACTTTTTTTTTTTTTTTTTTGAGATGGAGTCTTGCCCTGTCGCCCAGGTTGGAATGCAATGGCACGATCTCAGCTCACTGCAACTTCCAACTCCCAGATTCAAACGATTCTCCTGCCTCTCGAGTAGCTGGGATTACAGGCACCGGCCATCATGCCCAGCTATTTTTTGTATTTTTAGTAGAGATGGGGTTTCACCATGTTGGCCAGGCTGGTCTCGAACTCCTGACCTCATTGTCTGCCCGCCTCAGCCTCCCAAAGTGCTAGGATTACAGGCGTGAGCCACCACGCCCAGCCTCAGTAACTTTTTAATATTTGTGTGCTTAGTTTATTCTTGTTTCTTTGCTAGTTTTTTCCCTGCAAAGAAAAAGAAGAAAAATAATTTTAAATCTTATTTGAAGGATGACTGTACACTGATTGTGTTCTTGGCCTTTGAAAGGAGAGAAGGAGGAAAAGGAGGAGGAAAAGGGAAAATATCTCAAGAGGTTGTACTGTTAATCTACTTCAAGGCAGATTTTAACCACTAATGCTAAAATGCTATTATGAAATCGAATATTTCAACTGAATATTGAAAATGGTCTACTGGTGCTGGGCGCAGTGGCTCACGCCTGTAATTCTAGCACTTTGGGAGGCCAAGGTGGTTGGATCACTTAAGGTCAGGAGTTCGAGACTAGCTTGGCCAACATGGTGAAATTCCATCTCTACTAAAAATACCCAAAAATAGCCGGAAGTTGCTTGAACCTGAGAGGCAGAGGTTGCAATGAGCTGAGATCATGCCACTGCACTCCAGCCTGGGCAACAGAGCAAGACTCCATCTCAATAAATAAATAAATAAATAAATAAATAAATAAATAAATAAATAAATGAAAATGGTATAGTGACTTGAAGATGCAGGGGCCTGTGATGAAGAACGTGGATGGCCCCTAGAAACTGAAAGCAGCCCCCAGGTGGCAGCCAGCAAGGAAGTGAGGTCTTCAATTCTACACCTGCAAGGAACTGAATTCTGTCAACAACCTGAATGAGCTTGAAAGCTGATTCTTATCCAGAGGCCTCAGATAAGAACT